GGGCTCCGCTCTGCCTCTTGGTCCTGGAATCTGGAAAGCAGCCCAGGGCACAGACACCCACGCGTCTGTGACGATGGGCCTGTGGGTTCCCCGGCGCCCGTGTCTCCTCCACATGGAGCACAGGGTGGTCTGAGACAGTCTCAGTCACGGCGCCTTGCTCGTGGGCGAGTCGGGGTCCTCCGGGGTCGGTTGCTATAGTTGCCGTGTGTTTTCCTGTCTTGAGCAGCCCGGATGGCAGTTACACGGAGGAGCAGAGCCAGGAGAGTGAGGTGAGGGTGCTGGCCGCGGACTTCGACGACGAGTTTGAGGACGAGGAGCCGCTGCCCGCCATCGGGACCTGCAGAGCTCTGTACACTTTCGACGGTAACGCCTCCCGCCGGCCGGCTGCCCCCTTTCCCTGGGCCGTCTGGGCCACCTGCTCCCTCTGTGCCTGGCCTTGCTTTTATTTTACAGCCTCCCAGGTCTTTCTCTCACTCCCCTCTGTTCTGCTGATAGTATTTACTGTTGTTATCACTAGCCGATGGCTGCTATTTTCAGTCATCGAGCTTAATTGCAGGGGACTGTGGTTATTTCACACACTCGTTCAACATCTGTAGAGCTCCTGTCTGGAAAAGACCCCGAAGGGGGGGATGCGGGGAGTGGGTGCAGTGTCCACCCCCAGAGAAGCAAAGGGGGGGGCAGCCTGGCGGCAGGCACAGGAGGTCCCCGCACGCCCCCACGGGAGGCCAGTGGCAGAGGCGTGGGGCCCGTGGGGCTGAGTTCCCGCCTCCCCTCAGGACGCCTGCTCCCCGTTTGCCCAGAAACCTGACCTGTCCCGACGCTGTTTCCAGGTCAGAACGAAGGGACCATTTCGGTGACCGAAGGCGAAACGCTGTCCGTCATAGAGGAAGACCGAGGCGACGGGTGGACCCGCATCCGCCGGCGCGAGGACGAAGAGGGCTACGTCCCCACCTCCTACGTCGAAGTCTATCTGGACAAAAATGCCAAAGGTGCTAAGACTTACATTTAATACAGCTTTAAAAAAACAAACTCTTTAAAACCAGTTGGAGGTGCTTCTCCCCTCAGCCGTGACCACCACAGGCAGCGCCTCAGAGCCTGGCGGAGAGCACGCGGTGCCCTCCCCGTGGGCAGCGGGGCCCACCGAGGTTCCTGGTCTGGTTCTGACTGTTGTCGAGTTTTGCTTGCTGGTGACAGTTTGTGTGGAAAGCTGCCAGCCACCACCCTACCACTGTGTCATTTGAAACCTGATAAACACTTCTGGCAGCGCCTGTAGATCACAACAAAACCGTTTCCGTCCAGCTTCCAATCGATATTTCCCAGTCTCAAAGTCCACGCGCCGCCCGGGGGCAGCGGGCTTCAGCTCTCACGTGTGTACCAGCGTCTGCCACGAGTTAAACCACCGCAGACGCTCCCATCCTGTGACTTAGGAAGCTCAGCTGCGCCAGTTGGTTCAGTTTTGTAGCTACGCTCTTTGCAGGAAGCCATAAGTAAAAGCTCCCCCTTTCTTTTTTTCTTTATTTTCAATACGCTTTTATTGATTTCAGAGAGAGGAAGGGAGAGGGAGAGGGAGAGAGAAACATCAATGAGGAGAGTCATTGATCGGCTGCCTCCTGCACATTCCCCCCTCTGGGGATGGAGCCCACAACCCAGGCATGTGCCCCGACCAGGAATCGAACCCTGACCTCCTGGTTCATAGGTCAACCCTCGACCGCTAAACCACACTGGCCGGGCGAAGCTCCCCTTCTTGAGTAAAAGTGGCAANAACCAGGAATCAAACCCTGACCTCCTGGTTCATAGGTCAACCCTCGACCGCTGAACCACACTGGCCGGGCGAAGCTCCCCCTTCTTGAGTAAAAGTGGCAAGGAGAAGAACCTTTCATTGGTACCAAAGTGTGTGTTTTTTACCTAAACCTGGTTGAGGTCACTGTTAGCGCTCCGAGATGATCCTAGTGTGTCCATTTGATCCCAAACGACCAGCTGAAGTGTGTCCCCGGACAGTTGAAAGAGTCCATCAGCTTTGCCAGTGCCGTTTGGACGAACGTCTGTTAAAACAGCATCTTGCTCCCTTCTGTCCAGTGGGAGGCTTTGTGGCGAGTGGAGCCGTGGTCAGCGGACCCTCCCCCAGCGGGGCTGCACCCACACAGCCACAGACCCCAGCACGTTGCTTCCCAAAGGGGGGGTTTAAAACGACAGCAGCAGCAGCACCTGGAAGCCCCCAAGTGTGAACTGACTGAAAAGCCCTTTCAGAATTGCTAGCTGGCTTCACTTCGTTAACTGTAGCCAGAATCAAATACAATGTTTCACCATCTTCCAAGGAAACTGGGTCACACGGGGATCTGCATTCTGAAGTCGGCAGGGCGGGTGGTGGGACTGTCAGGTGCACAGGCGGGTTCCAGGCCCGGGGTTCGCGCCCATTTCCAGCATCTGCCCTGAGATCTCGGGGAACAGCTACCAGTGGGTCAGAATGGAGGTGTCGGGCTGAGATTCCCTGTTTGGCTTTGAAAGTCATTCACCTCCTTCCTACTTTTACACGGGAAATTAGCTCCTTGCCTGACACTGTGGGTGCCAACAGCACCCTGGGGCCCGGGGCCCCCGCGGGAGGCCTGGGCGCTTGTTGATTCCGGCAGAAAGTTTGCTGTCATCCCTCGCAACGGCCCCCAAGATGGGATTCAGTCTCCTTTCGTTCATGACAGCCTGGATTTTGAAAACGCTTTTTATTTTTAAATATAGAATCTCAGAAACTTGCAGAGAGATCGGGTCCCCTTCGCCCAGTGTCCTCCCAGTGCTTCCATCTGACACAATCAAATAGTGTCTCACGGGCAGGAAGCTGAAGGGTCAGCCTGATTTTTTTTAAACAGGGTTTTGTAATTCAAATTTCTTCGGAATTATTATTATATCTTTGCTGACGTAATGTCGATAAAGCCACTCAGCCTGAGCCCAGACCTCTCCGGGGATCCGGCCTGTCCTTAAGTCTGGCAGCAAGAAAACCAGCTGCCCCATGAAGCCCAGGGCGGGACTCCGTGAGCGGCAGGAGGTCACAGCTTCAGGCCTGTGACCTCATTTCCAGACCCGGAGCTACTGGAGAGCGCAGACCAGACACTGAAACGTCTTAAAATGGGGCAAGACAACATCGGCCTCTGAAAAGCCCGCCTGGAAGAGTGGGGCCGTCCCTGAAGCCTGTTTTTCTCTGTTTTGTGTTTCTGTTTTTGTTTTTGTTTTTTGCTTTTCCTTTGGTGTTATGCAAGTCTGGTTCAGAAAATAGCTCAGCAGGTTTTCCAGGGCGGTGTGGGTGCAGAAATTATGATTATTAAAGGTTCCTACAGGCCATGAATTAATGTAATATTGGCTCAATGGTGATATATTGTAGTTTGTTTTTTTAATTTGTTTTTTTATTAATTTTAACGCTAAACAGCACCCTTTCCAAGTGTATACACACTGTGATTATAATGGCCCAAGTTTTAAAGGTGGGCAATGCTAGTTGCTGGTTTAGTAGTAAAAGCCCTGCGACACAAGAGAATAAAGAGCTGCATTCCCGGCTTCGAAGGGCGCGTCCGTGCACCTCCCGCTAGGATGTGTTGTAGCTGCAGTTCCCAGAGAGCGGAATTTCCCTTTCCTCCCAGAGGATACTTTGTCGTCTTCCCAAGCTATCTGCTCAGACCAAAGCAGCCAGGTCTCAGCTTGTTTCACCAAGTTTTCTCCCTTTATTTTGGAGCCTCCCTTCCAGGTTCCCAATGTGCATGGAGAAGCCCCTCCCTCCCATGGTCACAACTCTGCCCACCTCCCCCCACACC